TTTTTTACATTTTTTATGTGTCTGTGAAGAGGATTTAGATAAAATTTTGAATGACTAGGATTAAGACACGAGCAGAATGCCTGGCTATTGCCCAGGAGGGTGATAGACACTGCTGTAATTGACTGATCGATTGTTAATCTATAAATTTACTTCAGTTTTAATTGCATGACAGAAAAACGCTGGTTGTGATGCCTCTAAAGTAAATTGAACTGCTGCTAAAATTCATTAGGATCACTTTCCCTAGCTAATGGTTATATTTTAGATCCAATTTAGGGAAACTACAAAATACAGGGCCACTTATTTACATCTCATTGAATCATAAAAGTGCCTATTGTATTATGCTTCTTTCTGACACGTGTAAACGAGGTGGTCCAAAGTGGCCCTGCGTTCTGTAGCTAATTTCCTTTCTTTTAATACACAAGGAAATGTTCAGTTACAGCCTCATAACATCATATTACTTTTAATGTTCTATATAACAAGTACCTCGTGTTTGTCATCGAGATCTTTCAGAAGTACAGTAATTCGTCCATCCATGGTCACTGTCATTCCTCTAATGGAGCGAATTCCTTCACGGATTTGAGTGCTGCCCACAAAGTCGCCATCTTTGGTGAATATTTCCACATGCAGGAGACCAGGGTCGAATAGCTTTCCTTCCTTACCAGCGATGACGACATGTTCACCCCCCCGGTGAAATGCAATTCGTGGATACCAATAACGTCCTTGGAGTTTAAACTTGTTCAAATGGACGCCGTCTTCACTGAATATGTGAACACAGGAATCATAATTGTCCACTACCATAACACGGCCATCATTAGCAGCAGTGATATCACTCGCATCCTTCAATGTTCCTTCTCCAAAAGAACGAACAAACACTCCATCAGTATCGTACACAACCATACCAGAGCCGCTCAGTACCAGTACTTGACTGTTGGTGACTGTCAGTCTGTCCCAGAACTTTCCCCTCACAGGAAACTTGTGATGCAGGTCAGCGGTGTTGCTAAATTCATAAACAACAAATCCCTTAGATCCAGTCTTCTTCTCGTATCTGACCAGTACGTAGATGTTGTCCTGGTTGTCTGTGGCTACATCATAAATATATAACTTTGTTTCAGCGTCATCATTAGGGACGCTGAAATGTTTTATGAACTGACCACTAGGGTCAAATATCTTTACGTCATTTTCATACTCTCCAACAATGAATTGTCCGCTGGAGTTTGTAGCGATTCCACGGGGGTTCTTCAGCTTGTGCTCCTCTTCCCCCTCCTGACCAAATGACCATGGTGTAACTAAACAGTTTTCCATACCCTGTTTACACAGAACTTTAGCTACTCGTCTGTCACGCAATGGATCCACTTTGTCTTCTCCGATATCAACAGCGGGCCAGATCCAGAGGTGAACGTCTTTCCCGACAGTTTGCGTGACATCGTAGATAACACGATTCACGTGACAGACACTGGAAATGATATTCCTGCGTTCATCTTTACCAACCAAACCCTTTAATGCTAGAATGCCTTTCCTGAGCTGAACATTAAAACTATTCTGAACTGCTGACAGGGAATTAAGATCTTTAAGGCACACTCTACAGGGTTCTATTGCGTCCTCGGGATTGTCTACTGTCTCTAGTATTGTGGCCATAACTCGATACTGCATCGCTAGAATACGGTCAGACGTTTCTAGACCTTCATTACTAAAGGCTTCTGTTGCTTTTCTACGAGAATCTTCGAATCTCTTCTTTGCGTTAGAAAGAGCCCTCCTAGCTGCTTCATCCAGGTCAGTAAGCTCCAACTTTTTCATTTTTTTGGCGAGAGAAAATGCTTCATCACAAACTGTTTGTGTTGTTGCCGCGCCGTTTCCGCTTGTGATCCTTGCCTCTTGAAAAACTTTGTACAGAAACCCGATTCCTTCCTCAAAGAAGCTGATACTCGCCAGCAAGTCTTTCCTTGATAATCTATCCAACTTGGACTTCATATCGTCGATTTCACGGACGATCAATCTACGAAATTGTTGATCTGTTACGTCGCCATCTTTAAGCTTCTCCGCTGCCTTATCTCTGCCTTTATTTACTAGCAAACCAATAGTGACTTTGAACACAGCTATCGCAATGGAAGACATAATCGTCAAGTGAAGAATTTTTAAATCGTTTTGTTCTGTTTCTCTGCTCAGTCACGAGTCTATGCTCTGCAGTGGCGTTGTATACGAAAATGAACGAATCAAAAGGTGTATCTATCTATAAGAATATCGAAACAAAGAGTTATTAAAAAAAGTTCTAGTCCAGTGCCTCTCAAAAGACTAAGAAATGAATTTTGCTGACGCAATGTTCAGGCTTATGAAGCTTTGAAAAACAGGAACGGAACTTTGTCTGAAGGGCTGAAAGATTAGCTGTAAAAAGGTTGATTTATCTTTTCATTTATTCCAGAAAGTAACCAGGACATAAATTTTTTAAATGGGGAATGGACGTAAAACACTGCAGATAAACACTTGAAACTAAGAGAGTGAAGCCATTTTGCCCCAGGCTCAGCTAATAAACAAATCCTTAAAAAGTCGAAGCTGTCGTCTATTCCCTTCTCATTTGTATGTTAACACTTTTTCCTACTCGTTTTTCACCAAAATCTTACCAACACAAAATCAAAGAAATCGTTGAACGAGCTCCTTAGTTTTGTTTAATTCTTCACATACAAATGGGCCAAATATGAAGCGATATTAGGCGACACGTGAAAGGCAGCGGTACAAAATGTGCGGGAAATCGAAAGTTTTGGGACATCACATATTACCGTAATTCATAATACGTTTTATTCTATAAGAGTTGAGAGAAAGTAATCCACCTTGCAGACAGGCTCAAGTAGAAAGAAAAGCTGCCGTGTTGTGGCACTGAGAGCTCAAGTGAGTTTGAACAAAGTAATGATGCATGGCAGAGATTTAAGTTGTTATTGTTTGAAGTGAGCTGCTCGATCATAACATGGTAGTCACACACCAAGCCGTCCAGACTCAAAGACGCCTTCATATCAATGAAAGTGCTTTTCATGTGACGCTGCATGTACTGCTGTATAAAAGTGACTTTGTTACGAGTTTTTACCCGAATTTCATGTCCTCAGATCAAGGAAGGCATGTGTAATTAAGGTATAAAACTCATAAGTTGATAATGATCTAGATTGAAGGATGCATTTTTTCCTCATTTATTCCGAGCATTGAATAATCGTACTTTGCTGAAGGCGATGAATCAATTGAAACACCAACAAACGATCACGGAAACTTGCTACAAAAGGGTTTCTGTAGGACCTCTGTAGGGCTGAGGATGTTTCTACCTTTTTGAGAAGCATAGCCAGATATGAACTCACCAAACATTATCAGTTTTTAAACAAAATCCCGACGCGTCCTGTGTGCGGCATTCAAACATTTTATTCAAAAGAAATCCATTAGTGACCCAGACTGAAGAGACTGTTGACCCTTACCAGGTATTACATTAATTGTCGTAAGTTTGTTTTCAAACAAGATTGAGTATATTGTAAAACTATTTGTCTCACGCAGCTGTTGTCAACTGCAAACAATAAAACGGAATTCGGACAAACACAAATAAAGCCCAAGTTGAAGCCTGTTTAAGTGTTGCTTTTGTACGACAGATTATAGCAACTGTTGTACACTTATACTTAAAACACTAAATAGTTTCCTTATGGTATTTGACATGTTTAACGATAAATCTTGTCGTACACTACTTGTTCTGAGAGTTGTGACATTGACGAAACAAGAAGGGGTCGCTTAGAAACGTGGCGGAGAGGAAGGGGGCTTACACAGGAAATAGTTGATTTGATTGTCGTGTAGATGAGCCAATAAGCCGGGGCACTTATTAACGAGGCGGGTGGTGAGGGCTTATAATTGGAGCTTTATGGATTCATATGAATTAGTTCATCAAAAGTTTCGTCATTTGTTTCAAAATGCTTTGAATTTACATGTTTAAACTCAAACAAGTCATGTCTTCAGGATATCGTTCTGATCAGTCAGTTTCCATGGTAACTGAACAAGACCGAAAAACGCAACCTCTGCTGTATGATTGTCACGTGATGAAACGCGGGCTGCTTGAAAACTTCAAAACTTTTAAGACATTTTAATCAACCACAACATCAATATCAACATCCTCGATGCCATAGCGCACTTTACTTCAGAAACTGACTCTAACTTAGGCTTCATTGCCATTTTTCCTTACAACTTTTGGTGATTATCTTTTCCGTTTCTTGGCTCGTCTCACACCAATTGTCAAAGATCTAACAGTTTGAGCTCAAAAACGCAAAAGGGTCGCTTAGCGAAAAATCACACATTGGATAGCTCTACTATCGTCTCGTCACGACAAACGTTCATTGAATTGTTGGTTTTCATGTATTCTGTGTTCAAAAAACATAACATGTTCTGGTAATCACGCGGTTTCTCCTCTCAACCAGTAATGACGAGAGTAGCAAAACTAGTTATGTGTTTGCTTTCTTGTGTTCCTTGAGAAAGCGAAGCTACATATTATCAAATGAAGTAATTTTTTTAGCCTATTGTTCGAGTACACTTCAGCATCCTGTCCTAAAATAAGTCTGCTTTGCATTTCAGTGAATGTTTGACATTAATATATTTACTTAGGGTGTTATTACAAATATTAACAGTCCGCTCCTTCAGCTCGTGCTATCGCGGTTTCTCTGTTTCTCAGCCCTGTTTTCTGACGGAGTGGAGCTTCTGTTGCGATGATGACGATGATGATGCCGACGATGACGATGGTGATGATGATAATGACGCGACTTCCGGTTCTTCTCATTAGAAGGGTTCCTGCCACTCTCAGCACTCCTACTGCGGCTGCGCTGAGGATGGTCAGTATTACTAACATGGGTACCCTGACGTTTAACCCCACCCTGCCCCTCATGGGCACTACGCTTCACCTCTTGCTCACCATCGCTGTCGGAGCTATCACTGTTTGTATGTGATTTATCTTCTTTAAGGCAATGCCTGTTGCGTGGAATGAAATCTTTGTCACTCTCAGCATATTCTCTGTGTTTTTCAGCAAGTTTATTCAAGTCGTTTGATCTGCCTGCATGACTTATTTTGTCCTCTTCAGTTAAAGACCTGCATGTGTTATTATCTTCTTCGTACTCACGAGTTATACTTCGTGAATTCCGATCAGCGCCGTTCGACTGCAATCTCGTCATTGTGCTCTCTTCTTCTTCAAAGTTGCTTCTTTTTCTCTCAAAGCGAATAATCTTTTCATTTTCTTCCTGTCCTTCGCTATCACTGCTACCAGTCGACTGATATTTAACTCGCTTCTGGTTGGTCGTGTTTCTGTCAATGTTATTGTTAGATGGCTTTGGATCACTCGGTGTTCTAGCTCGTAGTCGATAATCAACAGAGGAAGTCATTTTATCGTCTTTACTTGGTTTTTCTTCAAAGGCTCGTATTGTTCTGGGTGTCGGCTCAATGTCTTTGTCACTACTTTCGCCTCTGTTTCGTTCCCACAGAGTTTTGCTTGTCGTTAAACTCTCGCGTCTTTCACCATCACGAAATGTTCTCTNTTTTTTACATTTTTTATGTGTCTGTGAAGAGGATTTAGATAAAATTTTGAATGACTAGGATTAAGACACGAGCAGAATGCCTGGCTATTGCCCAGGAGGGTGATAGACACTGCTGTAATTGACTGATCGATTGTTAATCTATAAATTTACTTCAGTTTTAATTGCATGACAGAAAAACGCTGGTTGTGATGCCTCTAAAGTAAATTGAACTGCTGCTAAAATTCATTAGGATCACTTTCCCTAGCTAATGGTTATATTTTAGATCCAATTTAGGGAAACTACAAAATACAGGGCCACTTATTTACATCTCATTGAATCATAAAAGTGCCTATTGTATTATGCTTCTTTCTGACACGTGTAAACGAGGTGGTCCAAAGTGGCCCTGCGTTCTGTAGCTAATTTCCTTTCTTTTAATACACAAGGAAATGTTCAGTTACAGCCTCATAACATCATATTACTTTTAATGTTCTATATAACAAGTACCTCGTGTTTGTCATCGAGATCTTTCAGAAGTACAGTAATTCGTCCATCCATGGTCACTGTCATTCCTCTAATGGAGCGAATTCCTTCACGGATTTGAGTGCTGCCCACAAAGTCGCCATCTTTGGTGAATATTTCCACATGCAGGAGACCAGGGTCGAATAGCTTTCCTTCCTTACCAGCGATGACGACATGTTCACCCCCCCGGTGAAATGCAATTCGTGGATACCAATAACGTCCTTGGAGTTTAAACTTGTTCAAATGGACGCCGTCTTCACTGAATATGTGAACACAGGAATCATAATTGTCCACTACCATAACACGGCCATCATTAGCAGCAGTGATATCACTCGCATCCTTCAATGTTCCTTCTCCAAAAGAACGAACAAACACTCCATCAGTATCGTACACAACCATACCAGAGCCGCTCAGTACCAGTACTTGACTGTTGGTGACTGTCAGTCTGTCCCAGAACTTTCCCCTCACAGGAAACTTGTGATGCAGGTCAGCGGTGTTGCTAAATTCATAAACAACAAATCCCTTAGATCCAGTCTTCTTCTCGTATCTGACCAGTACGTAGATGTTGTCCTGGTTGTCTGTGGCTACATCATAAATATATAACTTTGTTTCAGCGTCATCATTAGGGACGCTGAAATGTTTTATGAACTGACCACTAGGGTCAAATATCTTTACGTCATTTTCATACTCTCCAACAATGAATTGTCCGCTGGAGTTTGTAGCGATTCCACGGGGGTTCTTCAGCTTGTGCTCCTCTTCCCCCTCCTGACCAAATGACCATGGTGTAACTAAACAGTTTTCCATACCCTGTTTACACAGAACTTTAGCTACTCGTCTGTCACGCAATGGATCCACTTTGTCTTCTCCGATATCAACAGCGGGCCAGATCCAGAGGTGAACGTCTTTCCCGACAGTTTGCGTGACATCGTAGATAACACGATTCACGTGACAGACACTGGAAATGATATTCCTGCGTTCATCTTTACCAACCAAACCCTTTAATGCTAGAATGCCTTTCCTGAGCTGAACATTAAAACTATTCTGAACTGCTGACAGGGAATTAAGATCTTTAAGGCACACTCTACAGGGTTCTATTGCGTCCTCGGGATTGTCTACTGTCTCTAGTATTGTGGCCATAACTCGATACTGCATCGCTAGAATACGGTCAGACGTTTCTAGACCTTCATTACTAAAGGCTTCTGTTGCTTTTCTACGAGAATCTTCGAATCTCTTCTTTGCGTTAGAAAGAGCCCTCCTAGCTGCTTCATCCAGGTCAGTAAGCTCCAACTTTTTCATTTTTTTGGCGAGAGAAAATGCTTCATCACAAACTGTTTGTGTTGTTGCCGCGCCGTTTCCGCTTGTGATCCTTGCCTCTTGAAAAACTTTGTACAGAAACCCGATTCCTTCCTCAAAGAAGCTGATACTCGCCAGCAAGTCTTTCCTTGATAATCTATCCAACTTGGACTTCATATCGTCGATTTCACGGACGATCAATCTACGAAATTGTTGATCTGTTACGTCGCCATCTTTAAGCTTCTCCGCTGCCTTATCTCTGCCTTTATTTACTAGCAAACCAATAGTGACTTTGAACACAGCTATCGCAATGGAAGACATAATCGTCAAGTGAAGAATTTTTAAATCGTTTTGTTCTGTTTCTCTGCTCAGTCACGAGTCTATGCTCTGCAGTGGCGTTGTATACGAAAATGAACGAATCAAAAGGTGTATCTATCTATAAGAATATCGAAACAAAGAGTTATTAAAAAAAGTTCTAGTCCAGTGCCTCTCAAAAGACTAAGAAATGAATTTTGCTGACGCAATGTTCAGGCTTATGAAGCTTTGAAAAACAGGAACGGAACTTTGTCTGAAGGGCTGAAAGATTAGCTGTAAAAAGGTTGATTTATCTTTTCATTTATTCCAGAAAGTAACCAGGACATAAATTTTTTAAATGGGGAATGGACGTAAAACACTGCAGATAAACACTTGAAACTAAGAGAGTGAAGCCATTTTGCCCCAGGCTCAGCTAATAAACAAATCCTTAAAAAGTCGAAGCTGTCGTCTATTCCCTTCTCATTTGTATGTTAACACTTTTTCCTACTCGTTTTTCACCAAAATCTTACCAACACAAAATCAAAGAAATCGTTGAACGAGCTCCTTAGTTTTGTTTAATTCTTCACATACAAATGGGCCAAATATGAAGCGATATTAGGCGACACGTGAAAGGCAGCGGTACAAAATGTGCGGGAAATCGAAAGTTTTGGGACATCACATATTACCGTAATTCATAATACGTTTTATTCTATAAGAGTTGAGAGAAAGTAATCCACCTTGCAGACAGGCTCAAGTAGAAAGAAAAGCTGCCGTGTTGTGGCACTGAGAGCTCAAGTGAGTTTGAACAAAGTAATGATGCATGGCAGAGATTTAAGTTGTTATTGTTTGAAGTGAGCTGCTCGATCATAACATGGTAGTCACACACCAAGCCGTCCAGACTCAAAGACGCCTTCATATCAATGAAAGTGCTTTTCATGTGACGCTGCATGTACTGCTGTATAAAAGTGACTTTGTTACGAGTTTTTACCCGAATTTCATGTCCTCAGATCAAGGAAGGCATGTGTAATTAAGGTATAAAACTCATAAGTTGATAATGATCTAGATTGAAGGATGCATTTTTTCCTCATTTATTCCGAGCATTGAATAATCGTACTTTGCTGAAGGCGATGAATCAATTGAAACACCAACAAACGATCACGGAAACTTGCTACAAAAGGGTTTCTGTAGGACCTCTGTAGGGCTGAGGATGTTTCTACCTTTTTGAGAAGCATAGCCAGATATGAACTCACCAAACATTATCAGTTTTTAAACAAAATCCCGACGCGTCCTGTGTGCGGCATTCAAACATTTTATTCAAAAGAAATCCATTAGTGACCCAGACTGAAGAGACTGTTGACCCTTACCAGGTATTACATTAATTGTCGTAAGTTTGTTTTCAAACAAGATTGAGTATATTGTAAAACTATTTGTCTCACGCAGCTGTTGTCAACTGCAAACAATAAAACGGAATTCGGACAAACACAAATAAAGCCCAAGTTGAAGCCTGTTTAAGTGTTGCTTTTGTACGACAGATTATAGCAACTGTTGTACACTTATACTTAAAACACTAAATAGTTTCCTTATGGTATTTGACATGTTTAACGATAAATCTTGTCGTACACTACTTGTTCTGAGAGTTGTGACATTGACGAAACAAGAAGGGGTCGCTTAGAAACGTGGCGGAGAGGAAGGGGGCTTACACAGGAAATAGTTGATTTGATTGTCGTGTAGATGAGCCAATAAGCCGGGGCACTTATTAACGAGGCGGGTGGTGAGGGCTTATAATTGGAGCTTTATGGATTCATATGAATTAGTTCATCAAAAGTTTCGTCATTTGTTTCAAAATGCTTTGAATTTACATGTTTAAACTCAAACAAGTCATGTCTTCAGGATATCGTTCTGATCAGTCAGTTTCCATGGTAACTGAACAAGACCGAAAAACGCAACCTCTGCTGTATGATTGTCACGTGATGAAACGCGGGCTGCTTGAAAACTTCAAAACTTTTAAGACATTTTAATCAACCACAACATCAATATCAACATCCTCGATGCCATAGCGCACTTTACTTCAGAAACTGACTCTAACTTAGGCTTCATTGCCATTTTTCCTTACAACTTTTGGTGATTATCTTTTCCGTTTCTTGGCTCGTCTCACACCAATTGTCAAAGATCTAACAGTTTGAGCTCAAAAACGCAAAAGGGTCGCTTAGCGAAAAATCACACATTGGATAGCTCTACTATCGTCTCGTCACGACAAACGTTCATTGAATTGTTGGTTTTCATGTATTCTGTGTTCAAAAAACATAACATGTTCTGGTAATCACGCGGTTTCTCCTCTCAACCAGTAATGACGAGAGTAGCAAAACTAGTTATGTGTTTGCTTTCTTGTGTTCCTTGAGAAAGCGAAGCTACATATTATCAAATGAAGTAATTTTTTTAGCCTATTGTTCGAGTACACTTCAGCATCCTGTCCTAAAATAAGTCTGCTTTGCATTTCAGTGAATGTTTGACATTAATATATTTACTTAGGGTGTTATTACAAATATTAACAGTCCGCTCCTTCAGCTCGTGCTATCGCGGTTTCTCTGTTTCTCAGCCCTGTTTTCTGACGGAGTGGAGCTTCTGTTGCGATGATGACGATGATGATGCCGACGATGACGATGGTGATGATGATAATGACGCGACTTCCGGTTCTTCTCATTAGAAGGGTTCCTGCCACTCTCAGCACTCCTACTGCGGCTGCGCTGAGGATGGTCAGTATTACTAACATGGGTACCCTGACGTTTAACCCCACCCTGCCCCTCATGGGCACTACGCTTCACCTCTTGCTCACCATCGCTGTCGGAGCTATCACTGTTTGTATGTGATTTATCTTCTTTAAGGCAATGCCTGTTGCGTGGAATGAAATCTTTGTCACTCTCAGCATATTCTCTGTGTTTTTCAGCAAGTTTATTCAAGTCGTTTGATCTGCCTGCATGACTTATTTTGTCCTCTTCAGTTAAAGACCTGCATGTGTTATTATCTTCTTCGTACTCACGAGTTATACTTCGTGAATTCCGATCAGCGCCGTTCGACTGCAATCTCGTCATTGTGCTCTCTTCTTCTTCAAAGTTGCTTCTTTTTCTCTCAAAGCGAATAATCTTTTCATTTTCTTCCTGTCCTTCGCTATCACTGCTACCAGTCGACTGATATTTAACTCGCTTCTGGTTGGTCGTGTTTCTGTCAATGTTATTGTTAGATGGCTTTGGATCACTCGGTGTTCTAGCTCGTAGTCGATAATCAACAGAGGAAGTCATTTTATCGTCTTTACTTGGTTTTTCTTCAAAGGCTCGTATTGTTCTGGGTGTCGGCTCAATGTCTTTGTCACTACTTTCGCCTCTGTTTCGTTCCCACAGAGTTTTGCTTGTCGTTAAACTCTCGCGTCTTTCACCATCACGAAATGTTCTCTGTAACAATTCTTGGTCCACCTGGGCCTGTACGTCAATGCTTGTTTCAGGAGACATGGAGCGTACTCGTCTTCGAGGAGACCTCGATCGCCTTCGAGGAGACTTCGATCTTCTCCGTGGAGACTTCGGGCTTTTTCGTGGGGACTTCGAGCTTCTTCGAGGAGACTGCGATCTCCTCGAGCTTCTTCGTGGGGACTTCGAGCTTGTTCTTGAGGACTTTAATCTCCTTCGTGGAGACTTCGAGGTTCTCCGCGGAGATATCGATCTCCTTCGTGGAGACTGCAACCGTTCTCTTGAAGACCTTGAACGTTTGTGTGGTGATGCCGACGGTTTTTGTGGTGAATCTGAACGTTTTCTTTCAAACGAAGCGACTCTTCTGCGTGGAGACCTGGGCCGGCCACGTGGGGACCTTGAACGTTCTCGTGGAGATCTCGCGAGTCGTGGAGATGTTGAGCGCCTTGGAAGAAAACGACGTCTCGTGTTGTTACGGGATTCGTTCGGAGGTGAGGATGGTGGGGGCGTGCGATATCGCTGAAAGAATTAAGAAAACAAACATTGTTACAGGGATGGCCTCCGTTAGGTCATTCAAGACATTTTGAGTTTCCTTTCACAAAAAAACACAGTGATCACACAGTGAACATAATGACCTTGGTTGGCACTAAGTATATGTAAACCAGACATAATTAACCGATAAACCGATAATCGATAACAATCGAATCAATCAAAGATTGATAACGATTAGCGATAGCCAAATTGATGAAAAAAAGTTGTGAGTTCGATTGTTATCGATTGCCGATAGTAATCGATAACGATTGATTCATCGATTGGTATCCATTGATATTGTCAAGCAACTGAAACAACGAACAGAAACACTTTGGGTTTTACATCTTTCTCTTGTAGTTTACGACACGGGAAGAAGCTTAGGCCAGAGTAGCAGTGTAAAACCCTCCAGTCTCATTGGAGCATTGACATTTAGATGAAGCAAAATAAACAACAGAGTCAGTGTTCTAGTGATTTCAATTATTTGCATTAGGAAACAAACGTAAGCCATCTTTGAAAAGTCTGGAAAAATTGATGTATGGTTAAATGGTTATTGTCGATGTTTTTCAATCGATAACAATCGATATTCCTAAAGACAGGAATTATTGATTGTTAGCGATTTTTTCAATCAATAGCAATCGATAAAATTTTTTACTTTCGCTTCGATCGTTATCGATTGCAGATAACAATCGATAGAAATCAGCGATTGATATTGATTGAATCGATTTGTTTGCGATATCGATTTTTATCGATTGACTAAGCCTGATGTAAATCAAGGCATAAGAAATGACAAGATCCACACCATGTTTCCCCTTCCTCTCAGAATCCTACCAGACTTGGAAATCTGCAAATACATACAATCAAGATCAATATTCATCTGTGGACCAAAAATGCTTAAAACACTGGTGGGTTTTATTAACATACATATTTTTTAACCGGAACAAGACCGTCCAAATTTCCAAGACTTTCTTTCATACCAACTCCGATAGTTTTGAAAAATTTAACATAATCATAAATGTAAGCATGCCTTCGAGCCTAATGGCCCGTCAGGCAGTTTCAATTGTATGGAGGGACTAGGGGGGAATATTTCTAGTGTTCCTACTCCCCCCTGGATGGGATGCTAGTCGATCACTGGGTTGACCCCCAGCAGAAATTCGCCAGTAGCCATTTATACACTTGGGTGCAGAGAACCATAGCATGGGTACGTTTAGAGGCTATTTTCGACCTCAGATGTATTCCAATTCATTTTGTTCATAATTTGGCTTTCTGGTTAAGTCAAGGGTAAGGCGGTCTGCGCCACCCTCTGGATTGAAAGGAATGGGTTCATACACTGGCCAGGGTCACTGTTCTATGTTCTTGAGCAGGACACTTTACTCTCACAGTACCTCTCAGTAGCTGTTAATCGAGCAAATATTTCATCCATTGAAAAAAATTTCTATTTTCGGCTTCTTTCATTTAAATCTGACATTACATCATTTTATTAATGATGACCTCTATCAAAAGTGCACATGTGAAGCTCAACACACTTTCTTGTATCTGTGTACATACCCTGGTCTTTCTTGAAGTCTCTTCAGGCGGAGCTTTGTATCCTGCTGCTGGAAGGTTACTTGTGCTGTTGGAAAAAAAAACATTGTGTGAACGTTTCACTAATGGCTCATCAGGCTAGTGCTTAACTCCTGTTTCTGTTGAATGAAGGGGTTTGAAGTATTGCCACCCCTCCCCCTCCAAATATAAGCAGTGTTAGTTCACCTCCGGTTACTGCAAGTATTTTACCAGGCACCAGTCAAAATCTCTATGCCTGGGTATCCTGTGTAAGAGACACGGGCATATACTTCTGACACAGGAAAAGAAAAAAGACACAAGGACTTCAAAAAATATATTTTTTCCTTTTAATTAGAACACTTTTAAATTTTGAAACAGGAGATAATATAAAAAATCAAAAATTAGAAGTGGTACATCTGCTGAGTGGCTATTCATCCACTTTATTCAGACTGAATTGGAAGAGTCAACTCTCAAAACTGCTGACTCCATGTAGTAATGTGATTTGTTGTTTTTTTGTGATGGGAGGAAAAGTGGAAAATGAGAAGAAAATCTTCTTTAATAAGAAAAAGAACCAAAAACAAACCTAACCAGCATATGATGCCGTGTCCAGGATTCAGACCTTGGCCACACTTTTCCCACAGTGTAGTGTTGTGGCAATGTGTAGTTCCAGAAAATATCCATACCTCCCCCACAAAAGGGATTTTTTTCTATGACCCCCCCCTCCCCCGCTCAATAAAGCTTCACACATTTCTTTAAATATTTTGGTCTAACAGACCCCCCAATCCCCCAGGAAATTCCAATCTCTTCTGTGAGGGGGGGGGAAGAGGGGGTAATGGATATTTTCTGGAACTGCACAATTTAACAAACAAACAAGCAGTAATTCATGTTTCATTTATCAGTATTCTTATGGAGCATGGTAACTTCACAAACCTATTCTTTGCCTCTTCAAGCCTCTTCTTCCTTACAGGGGAGGGGGTGCGACTTCTTCTCAACAGGAAGGAGTTATTAGGTACATCTGGAACCTCATCCGCGGCAACTGTACTGACGGGTTCAGGGATCTGCTCTGATTTCTCATTACCTGAGCTGAAAATAAAAATATCTTCTGTTGGCTTAACTTTCATTCAATGGTGAAGTCACCCAGTCTTAGCTTGGTAATCAATAAAAATACATTGACCACTCCTATCTTGATTGGTAAGATTTCAAGACCAGTGACTGACTGTGTATTAATAAATGCAGCTAAATGTGCATGTACTATAAATCACTGTTAATCACCATGGAGGAGGAGAGGTTATTACTTCAAACATGTCTAAGAGGGGAGCTCAATAGACAGGAAGGTTTATTGGTGTGCCCTACTGGTCAGGGTGTGTGGAGGTCCCCTCCCAGGTTCAAAACCTCATCCCTTCTGCTGGATGGATTTGTGTTGGGTGGTTCCGAGTTCAACTCCTCCACACTTTGTAAGTAGCTGCTTAGCCTCCAAACATTTGTTTTTTAGGCAATTTATGTTCAATTTACAACAATTGTTTCTTGATTTAGTTTCCCCATTTGGCCAAGCAGTGCCAAATACATGTACCATGACATGCAAATAAAGTGATTTAATTTTGTTCATTTTTCAATTCAGGGAAATACCTGTGAGTTAACAGTTTCAGTGACTCTTTTCATATCATACTGTACTTTGATCAATGAAGTGTTATATTTGTGGATTAATAATGATCATTAAAGAGTACAAGTGTGGTAATGTTTTCTCCAAGGGCCACAGTTAGTGATTTAGTTTCCAGACTGGTGCCATAAAAAATTGTGCAGTCTGTCACTCATTGTTTTGGTTCAAGAGGAAGCTGGACTGGCTTCATAGAATACAAAGAAGGTCTAAGAAACACCTTGTGATGCATACATGCTGTGGTTTTCCTTGCACTGCTCCTTACAAAGTCTATTGTTTGCTAGCAACTGTTTAGCTAATCCAGTGAAACCCGTTATGCAATCACCTTCATGCCATACAATGGTACTCAAATTGAGGGTGTATTTGTCTTACAGGAAATCTTAAAGTATCAGTATACCTCCACTGACATGAACAAATTCTTGTGCGCAGCCATTGAAAATATACGCCTATAAATTATACATTTCCTGAAAGCTTAATAAATGTGGAAATCAATTCTGTTTGTGTGTTCTTTTCATACCTAGCCTGCGAGCAGGCTCACACTGGAGCACAAGCGCATGTGGCTTAACCGTGTGCATGAAATCGAATGCTAAGGCCGCGAGATGAGAAAGCAAGCCTGCTCTGATCTCTGCAAATTTTTCATTCCCACCCCAGAAACCGCAGACAAAAATAAGCCAACTAATTTTCACCAGAAGAACAAATTTTGGCAGCTCAGATTTCTCGGGAAAATTGCAAATCTTTTTCATAGCAACATGCAGGCACAATATTGATGATATCAATTGTTGTTCTGCTGAAGAAAAACCGCCAAAGTTAACGTCTAGCAAGGACACACACTTGATTACAAGTGATTTTGCTTTGGCAGTCTGGTCTTTGATGAAGCTGGTAAACGGGCAAATGCCTTCCTGTTGTTTTGTTACCTACTTGCAATCATGTACGTTTGTATTATTTAACTCTTCCCAAGTACGTCTTGATTCATTAACATACTTTCAACTGCTATTTCCTGCTCCCTCTTTAGTTTGAAATTTAACGAGAAATAGACTGGAACTGTGTTAAAACATCAGTAATACGCACACTCAACTCATCCTCTGACTCCAGATGTGGACGACTTATTTTTTATTGTGAGAACGTGCGGTAAATTACCAACTCCATGGGGATCTAATCGCTCCTCTTCAAACATAATAGATCAACAGTTTTCTCGCCTTTCCCGCTTTCCGACCAATGGTATTTCACTTTGCTCAGGCGAAGCAGAAATGAAAAAATTTCAGAAATCAAGGCGGGCTCACTCTCTTGGCACCTCTTCACCAGACTCCCTCCTGCCGGATCACTTTGCTCTTTGCTGCTCGCGCACGTGACTCCAAGGTGAGCCTACTCGCAGGCTATACCATTCTAAAGTTTGCTGTTCAAGCTTTAGCTTATTACTTAGTAAGAAAATCAAATGGAATAGAAACTCTTGGTAAAAACTTTCATGTACACGCCTCCTTTCTGGAAATTCTTTAAAATGCAGAAGAATCACCAATAGACATTTGGAAATAGAGATTTACAATGAAAATCAAACTTCTTTTGGTCAAGTGGAAAGGTATAACAAACCTGTCTTTAATTTCCTTATTTTTCTTATCTTTTGTCTTCTTCTTTTTCTGTTTTCTTTCTGCAGAATCTTTCTTGCGTTTTTCTCTTTTTTTCTTCCTTGTTCGTTCCTCCTTCTTCTGACTCTCATCTGAAGAGGACCGGCTGTCTGACTCTGTATCAGACTCTGACTTAGAATCAGAACTGGAATCTGACTGCTGTTCCTTCTTTCTTTTTTTCGTTTCAGCTTTCTTTGCTGTGGGGAAAGGGATTAAAAGCATTGAAATATTAATAAAATTGAACAACAGGTCAAACCTGGATAAATGTTGACAAAGGCATTCAAACTCTCACACAGTCACAGGTTATTAAGTTAATATATATATATTTTTTTTTTTTTTTTTTTTTTGATCTTGCATCTCATCTGTAAATATACAACCTGCAAAATGAAACGGACATGTTAATTGCGCCGCAATTTAGGCGAAGCAGTGTTTCTGGGTATTTCTTTTGATATCACCGAGACATTGACTTTTAAGAAAATTTCAAGGATATGATTGTATTCTATAACTATTAAGCTTTCAGAAAATGTATACATGTAGGTTGATGGGGTTTTCTTTCAAAGAGTCAGTGTAAGAGCGTGATTTCCAAACACTGTCAATCCACCTATCATGATACCTTAAATTACATAAGTGTCCCACGGACTTTTGTCCACGATTGTCTGATTTTCAGGTCTCATGGAAAAATGCAAAATTACGATGGTTTTTAACCCTAAATGCATTTAGAACCAGAAAATGTGAACATCTGAGATTAGAAAGGCATTTCTAAGAGCTTCTACACGGCTTCTTCTGTATTTTTCAATGGTTTTGGACCCACCGAGAAAAGTGCTGATCTCAAATAATGTAGAAATTTTTGTATGTGATAACAGTGATAAAATTATGGCGTCACTTGATTTGGATACATAACAAATTATTACAGCGCATTTCAGTGAATACAAAGATACTGAGGCCCTATACTCTTCGGGTAGTGACATCAGCATTCATTGGTCATCACACAGTACTCAGCAGTGAAGAAAGACAACGTTAACTCAATTTTCTCAAAGTATCAACTAAGAAAACCAGTGAAAATATTTTTCAACACGAGATGTATGGTACTTTTTCGAAATTATTTGATAAAAGTCATCAGAGCACGCTGGCAGTGAATGTAACAGTACTCACTTGATTCAGTGTCGAAGAGTTGACTTAATGATGAAAAGTGAGTACCGTGTTTGCAGAGCTCAAAATTAAGTTTTTCCGAGCAATAAAGGTGTAGAAAGATCGATTGCCAAATGCAGTTCACTTCAACATTCTTAAATGTGAGCTTTTGGAAATAAGTAGGCATATTTTAAGGTTTTAAAGTGGGTACTGTTGCTGAGAACTGTTGAGTTATGCAAATAAAGGGTGACCAACTCATTGTGCACAACATTAAAAAATGTCACACAACATTATTTTGTAAACAAATAAAAGGAAATGACTTCCACTGCCTGGAAACAACTTTCAAATATTTGGATCAGTACCCTTTGGATGAAATTATATAGTTTGCGATGCCCGCTCACTGCATGTATCACATATTAATGCTACTGATGACTTTTCGCACGATTTCCCGGGATGAAAGCTTTCTGTTTTTCTTAAAAAAGAAGACTTTTGCTCCCTGTTAAACAGAAATTCTTGTCATATGCACCATGATTTAAAATGCCCACTGCTGCCTTCAGTGTTAACCATGTTTGTCATTTCAAACACTGCACATGTGAGTATGACAGAGAACAAATTCATATTTACACCTCATGTGGGGAAACGTTGAAAAGGAAAAAAAGGGTTAATAAACCACAAAATAGCTCAAAAATATTCATTGTATTCCGATCTATTCACAGAGTTGAGAAAAAACACATTTAGAATGTGAAAAACCACTGAAAAGTGACATTTTATTTCTCAGCTGAAATTCAGGCAATCAAGGACAAACGTCTTGGGCCAAATTTGCACTTTTGCAAACAAGCTAGACGTGAATACAACTTTACCTGCCTAACCTCTGAAAGCAGTGCTTTTACCAAACTTCAGTAGTAAAACACAGATAATTCTTTAAATTATGTTAGTGTCCCAAGGACTTTTGTCCACGATTGTAAGTAAGGCAATGACCAATGAACTGCTGCATAAAAATATTACCAAAAAACCTCATTGAAGAGTAGCAAAACTGAAATGAAAATTCATGCTATTTCTCCTTTGTAATCTGACAAAACCAGATAGAGGCTGTGTTTACATGAACATAATTACACTCGTATTTTTGTGTTCCCAGGGTCATAGCAATCATACGCTCATATGCATAATTGTACCTCTTTAAATCCAGAAAAAATAAATTTGTAGATATTTATCAGCGAAAAGCCTCCATGAAAATTAAATCAGCAACAGTATCTAGTCTCTCCTGCTAAACCTATTATCAATAATCCCAAAGGTTGATATATAAACATCATAAGTTGCTAATACCCAATGTTTTTCAATGTTTTAATTTGTGAAACTGTTCCCAGGAAAAAAGAGGAAGTAGCATTTCCAAGCACCTGAAAATAAAAGTATAAAAATACTCTACGAAAAATGCACACTATGCCCTTGGTTTCCTTGACCTTGTATCATGGTAAAATGACACCAAGGTTGAATGATGAAAGCAAAACATAAAACGAGAAAAAGGATGTCTGTCAACAAGTACAGTGTATAATGCCCCATCAGGATGGTGTTTATCTCTGGGTTCCATAATATCAAGTAACTAGAAGAATTTCTATGCAAGTTATAAAATTTCTTATTTAAGTTAGTTTACTTTATCTGGGAAAATATTACAATAATATTATTCTTACCTTTAGCCTTGGCTTTCGGAATAAGCTCCCCACAGTTGCTGATCTTGACATCAACTTGGGGTCGGCTTTTGTCGTCAACTCTTTGATTCTCTATTTCTGAAACCACCTCTTGTCCTTGTAGTACATGACCAAATATCACATGGATCCTAAGTGTTCAAGAAATTGCCGTATTATACATAATGTACCCTGATATAACGTAAGAAAATAACACTGACAGCAGATTATCTTGTTTTTCATACGGGCTCCAGCAAAATCTACACTGTAAACAGGTTAAGGCTTATCTGAAAATAATTTATTGCACCTTGGCTAAGAGCTCAACAGAATGCCCCCAGGTGCAGAAGGCTTCAACATCCCAGGAGCTTAAACAATGTCTTAAAAAGAAATTTGTACTTGATAAAGAGCTTTAACCAAACCACAATGTCAACAGAAAGGAGAACACTACCAAACAAAAGGTTTTAATTAATAAGTAGAACAATGGCTGTGCACATGCCTCAGAAATTTTCGTGCAAAAACGTGAAAAGAAAAAAGTTCTGCATATTTTGGAGAATGCGAATGATGGCGGCTAATCTTTGCGTATTTTCATTTGGACTTGAATGCTGGCGTTATATACAGTTGGCTTGGGTGAGTTCTAAGACCAGTAGGTGCATTGAACAGAGCAAGACAATTGAAGGGGTGAGTGCAAAACCATGCTAAGTGACGATTTGGGTGAAAAAAAAATTTTTCGCAAAAGGGCTTGAATTCTTGCATGTGGTCTTCAA